CACTCAGTCACATTACACCCCCCCACCACCACCAAGCCATGTCCACAGAACCGGTAGTAACAAATTTTAGATTTCACCACTGCTCCACAGATCAACTGGATCTTTAGTTGTTGCAGGCAGTGCTCTTGTTAGCTCCCATAAATTTTGAACTTAACTTAAGTGACTTAATGACTTTTATTGTTGCAAGGGTAGATTTCTGGATTCTGTAGCTGCCTCTGGCTCTGAAGAAAATTGAACGTAAGTAATCAAAAGGGCCATATGTGAGAAATCTCTAAGCAAAAAAATAATATATTTAACCCTATTAAAACTATTGATTGGTATCAGAATTTTTTTAATATCAGATATGTGAAAGTAGATTTAACAATGAACTTTTTCCCTTGATCTTTTTTATCCAAATTTACTTGCTGTTCCTTATATTTGTTTTCTGTAATTTGGATAGTTTGTCCTGGAAAGGAACAGCAAGATATGTCCTTCTATAGATGAACTTCAGCAATACCAACATTAGAACAAGAACAATATGTGCTCAGAATTCTTGTCCCATTACAATTTTGGCAACATGTGGTGGTAGCTAATTTCATTGAGGTTTTTTTTTCAGAGAAGGACTGAAGTTCTTGCCATAATAAAATTCACCATTTAACAGAAATTTAGCAAAAATATCCAGAGAATGCTAAGAATATTTGGAATCTTGAAAATATGATTTACCAATATCCTTTTTGTTTAGCTTTTAATATAAGTTACATAAAACTATTCAAAGGCGGGGGAAGAGAAAGCAACAAAACAGTGTTTCACAATATCTTCTTTGAATTAACAACTAAGCTACCTATAGTTCAGGGGTAGGTTCTACTTAACTTTACTACTGGTTCACAACGGGATCGCGAATGCACAGATCACCGATGATGACATCCAGGGCAGTGGGCAGGGCCTCCAGCTGGTTTTACTATCAGTTCTTGCAAATGAACTGGGGGCAATCCACCACTGCTATAGTTGCCCCGATGTATTACATCAATATTGAATCTATCCCTAGAAGAATTCAGATTCCCCAACAACTTCCATGATTGAACCAAAGTAAGGCAAAGAGGAATACACATTTTACCAGAATAGCCACTTAAGGATATACTAGATAAGTACATATTCTCATGTGTCTGATTTGCTCAGTTCATGGATTTTTTATTTTTTTATTTTTCTATGACCAAATAATTTTGCTAGATTACAATGAACCTTTTTGGAATATTGGTCAAAGTGATCAATCAATGTGGACATGATATAGATTTTACCTGATTAAACCAAGTGGGCCAGATGAGGTCATCCTCTCTAACGGTCAGCAGGTGATGTGAGAGTGGATCTGGATCTATGGTTCCCACCTTAACTCTACGGAAGGACTGGTTTGGGAACGTGACCCAGTTTATGATATCAAATCTTCCTATAAATTCTCCATTTTCATCAAAGGAAATCTTGTCTCCAGCACTGTTATTGAATGAAACTCCTCTCAGGAAATGGTGAAGCTAGACAGCAAGGAGGAAAAAGTTGAAAAGGAGAAAAAAGCGTGGCATGAAGTTTGGTTGTAGATGCTTTGCCAAATGTCACCAATCTGATGAATGCCATCAAATAAGAAAACACATTCTCAGCACAGTTATTGTACTTTCAACGGAAGATTGCATCATTGCCTGGTATCTTACAGTTATTATTCTAAAGAAAATGATTAGTAAGGTTTTGCCACAAAGCTCCTTTGAACTACAGAAATATGTAGAAATGAGCCGTGATCCCAATAAATCTGGCAGAGTCATAAAGTCATAAAACTATTTGGTGGGATTTTATATGGAGATTTATTTTGAAAAACTAAAAAAAAAGTGGCACCAGAGGATTAGATTTAATATTGTAACAGAAGGGTCCTATACTATAAATCATATTAATCTATGTATTGTATTATTCACAGTATTATGTTGCTCTCAGAAGTGTTGACATGGGAGTAGAAGTTATGTTGCAAACCTCAGCAAAGTACATGGAACAGAAATAAGGAACTTATTTGTTAAATGTACTGATGAGCTTAATGACCTATGTTCTATATCATCCCTGTAATGAATTTATATTAAGAAACATATTACCAGAAGTGTGCATGGAAAGTAACAGACGGTATTCCCATATATGGAAATAGAGTCAGAACGTAATGCCTCTGGTGTGGTTAGAATTGCAAAATGTATAGAAGGTACACCTTGGGCATAGCCCAGGGTTCGGAATCTGACATGTGAATGCTCTGAACCTTTGCTAGCAAATAAATCTGTGTTCTCCAAGTTTTGTGGTCTTGTCTCCTGATTTTGGGAAGCGGGTTTTCCTGCAACAATATTATGAGAGATTTCTTCCTCTGCACAAATGTTTCTTGATGGAAAATAATGTAAAATCATGAGAAAATAGAGATCTGCCATGAATGGTATCCATTCTTACAAGGATGATGGAGACTCTCCAACAGGAAAAACAGGTTCTAATGATCAAATAAATGAAAATAATTCCCCTCCAGCTTGAAATAGTCTTTTTGTGGAAATGGCATCACATCGGATGAGAACTGGAACCTAGGCCAGTTGAAGAAATGAAAAGAAAATTGTTAACTAAAAATGCACAGAAAGCACCAAAGGGAAAACAAGAAACAATAGATGGAAACTAACCAAGGAGAAAAGTAAATTAAAACTAAGGAGAATTTTCCTAATGGTGAGAGCAATTAACCAGTGGAATGGTTTGCCTTCAGAAGTTGCGGGTGTTGATTACTGGAGGCTTTTAAATACATGTAGAGACTGGACAGCCACTTGTCCAGAATGGTATAGGGTCTACTGCTTGCGCAGGGGGTGAACTAGAAGACCTCCAAGGTCCCTTCAAACTCTATTATTCTATATAGTTTAGAGCAGCTTGTCCCAATCTTTTTCTCTACTGATACATTTGGATCACACATCTTCATATAAACATCCAACTTGAAGATAATATTGGTTCTTCTCAGGGGTGGGTTCTACTTACCTTTATTACTGGTTCACAATGGGGCCGCCCATGCAGAAGCTTCCTGATGACATCTGGGTCAGTGGGCAGAGCCTCCTGCCGGTTTTACTACCAGTTCTTGCAAACCAGTCCAAACCGGGGGCAACCCACCACTGGTTCTTCTTCTCCTCCTACCCTCAAACTCCTACCTCCTACCTCAAACTCCTACCCTCAAAACGACGCACACCAGAACAACTAGACACAAAAAGAGTTTTTTTCCCCAAACTCTGCTAAACAAATAATTCCTCAACACTGTCAAACTATTTACTAAGTCTGCATTACTATTACTATTAATCTTCTCATCATTCCTATCACCCATCTCCTCCCACTTAGACTGTATGACTGTAACATGTTGCTGTATCCCTATGATTTATATTGACTGTTTTCTAGTATGATTCGATTGCTTATTTGTACCCTATGACTATCATTAAGTGTTGTACCTTATGATTCTTAATGAATGGATCTTTTCTTTTTATGTACACTGAGAGCATATGCACCAAAGACAAATTCCTTGTGTGTCCAATTACACTTGGCCAATAAAGAATTCTATTCTATTCTATTCTATTCTATTCTATTCTATTCTATTCTATTCTATTCTATTCTATTCTATTCTATTCTATTCTATTCTATTTTTAATAGCAATAAGATCTCTGATCCCAAATATCTCACAATGATCAGTTAAATAGAATAAATTGATAGTGTTACCATTGCATCAACAGATATGGTGAAATATTCTGCACTAATTTGAGAAGGATATTTACCTTCCATGGCTGTTCTTTAAGAATTTTCAACGTCATCCTCGACCTTTGCTTGTTTATGGATGAATACAGGGCATGCAAGGCATGTGCAACAGCATAGACAGCATTGTAGACACAGTAACTATGGACAGTCATCCTTGTTTCAAAAACAGTCATGGGAAGAGACTCCAGTTTCTCCTCCCCAGTGCAGATATTCTGGTCCACGGACTTAGATGAAGAGCTTGGAGTCAGGCAATCAAATAGTTGCAGCCAGATCTCTTTTAAGAAACCATCTGCTTTATGCAAAAGAGGGTTCCTCATCTGAACAAATTCCTGAAATCCTGACACTTCCTTAGATTGGATTGCCAGGGATATAGCGCCATGGAGGAAATCTGTGCTCCAGTTTCTTTGAAACAGGATGGATGTAAAGTCCACATCTGCTGTCATGATCCAGACTTTTGCTTTTTTTCCTGCCTCATCATAAAATTCTGAAACTTCAAGCAAACCCCATAAAGATGTTATGCTGTGAAATTCTCCATGAAAGATCACCGCATTAGCTCTGCTGTTCCAGGCGAGGTTTAATTTAGCACGGGATGTTTCCACAAGCGCACCCAAATTACTGAACAGCCCCCCAGCTAAAGTTTCAATGAAATCAAAACAGATGCCATGCTTTGAAAGGAAAGGTACTATCTTCCGGAGCAATAATTCTGTCTGATTGCCCATGCCAATATAAAATATGCCCATCCATGTCCACTTGAAATAAAGCAACAGCTGGAGAATCCCATAATATTGATAATCTGCATTGGGGAACATCCAATGGAAGGAAATTGCTTGATTCTGAGTTTTCATCTCTGGAGCAGAAGAATAGGCAAGCTAAGAGACGGTAGCAAAAAATGAAGAGAAGAAGGAGAAAAACAGAATAGAAGGGTTTGTTTTACAAGGAATTTAGATTTTTTTGTTTATTTGTTTGTTATTGCAGCAAAACCTGCATGATGTTGTGGTTTCTAAAACTATACTGCCTTCTTTTGACTAAAATCATATGGTCTGATACGAAAGGGAATTATTCCTTTTATGATCTCTTAAATGGAAGCCTCCCAAGATTAAAAAAAAAAATAGTAAAATATTTAATTAAAGTAACTATTAAGACAAAATATACTTGAGTGGAAATACTAATAGTAACCTTTATTGTCACTGCACAACATATGTACAATGAGATTGGTCGAGCTCCCTCAGTGCATCCCCCCCAACACAATACAACTCACAGTGAAGACAGAAAACCCCTAACCCAATAAATCATATTAACAAAAACCCAGTCCTATTGAATCAGTGTGAACATGTTACATGTTGCGCCCACCCTGCAAGTCCATCGTACTACGATGTTATGATGTTATTTCACATTCAGGAGTCTGACAGTCCACGGATAAAAACTGTTCTTCAGCCTGTTTGTGCGGCTGGCTAGGAGGGTAGGAGGGTAAAGTAGTAGTGAGCAGGGTGAGAGCCGTCCCTGAGAATTTTCCTCACTCTTCTAAGGCAGAGAGCCCAAGCGATCTCATCTAGTGGTATCAGGAGACAGCACACAATGTTTTGTGCTGTGCTCACCACCCTCTGTAATGTTTTTTTCTATCTGCAGCTGTCAAGCTGGCATGCCATACCGTGATGCAATAAGAGAGGACGCTTTCTATTGTGGACCGGTAAATACTGAATGTAACCTGAATTTCAGAAATCAATTCAATAAGTAAATATTTCCATATTTAACTGGTAACCTGGATTTCCATATCTTGGTTTATTTCACACTCTTCCCTGACTAATTTCAATTTTTGGTTTGTCCTTTTCATTCTGTCTAAATTACAATTCAAATTAGTAGCCAAATCAACATTCTGGAACCCAGCATCTTATGTTTCATATTTAACAAGCAAAGGAATTGTTACGGATTTCTTCAGGTTTTTTTTTCCTCTTCCGTGAACAAAAACTACCTGTGCAATCTTGTATTGACTCAGGATGGTTGCTATGTAAAAAAAATCGTTTGAGTTAGGTCCTCCAATGACTGCGACTAGGTTGTTCTGGAAATCACATTTATAGTTTGGGATGAACCTGTCTGGTGTGGAGAGGATTTTCATTGTTGCTTCATATGTCAGTTTTGGATTAAAATAGTTATTATAGATGTTGAAGCCCAGGGTGACATTGGTCAAGATCTGGGGATTTCCATTAATCTCTTTTACAGCAAATACCAGAGCCAAGATGTGCTGATAAGTCTGAGTTAGTAATCTGCAATACAATTTAAAAAATAATAAATACTTTCAATGCATATGCTTATAGAGAGACCCACTTGCAATTTTAATAACTTTGAATACATATACAGTGTATATAATACATGAACATATACAAATACGTTGGAAATATCTCCAGATATTTACTACCATTAATTTGGATGGTAACAGCTAAATATTAAAAAAATATATATCCAGAATTAATCCTGCTTCTACAAAATGTGTCTTATAAATTTTCTCTGCAAATCCATGGCAGAGCTAATGATTGCCCTTTTAAAATTGGTTCATATACAATATACCCCCCCCAAATGTAATGTGAAGACAGTTGTCCTTTCTCTGAAAATATCAGTATCTTCAAGAATGAGGTTCTACAGATGACAAGCTCTTCTGTCTTCCTAAACTAAAAAAAGTGATTTTTCAGAAATAGGAAGAAATGCTTACTTAGGTTATATATAGCAATAGCATTTATTTATTTATTTTTATTTATTTTATTTGATTTCTATACAGCCCTACTCCCGAAGGACTCAGGGCGGTGCACAGCCAAACAATAAAATACATACATACAAAATTTAAAAGTGGAAATTAAAATCAAATTAAATAGTTTTGGCCCATTTAGACTTATATACCACTTCATAGTGCTTTTACAGCCCTCTCTAAGCGTTTACAGAGTCAGAATATTGCTCCCAACAATATGCGTCCTCATTTTACCAACCTTGGAAGGATGGAAGACTGAGTCAACCTTGAGCCAGTGAGATTTGAACTGCCGAATTGCAGCTAGCAGTCAGCTGAAGTAGCCTGTAGTGCTGCACTCTAACCACTGTGCCACCTCAATGCCACAAAACAATATATGTTTTGTTTTATCAGGTCATTGACAGAAATATCATCTGTTTATCATCTATCATCTATCTATATCTATCTATCTATCTATCTATCTATCTATCTATCTATCTATCTATCTATCTATCTATCTCTAGCTAGCAAGCTAGCTAGCTAGCTCTATCTACCTATCATCTCTCTCTCTTTCTCTCTCTCTCTCTCTCTCTCTCTCTCTCTCTCTCTCTCTCTCTCTCCCATTCAAAATCCACCCCATCTCCCCCCCCATACACAAAAGTAAACAAACTATACCATCACCACTTCTACTATTAGCAGGACAGAGATACAACAGATGTGTAAAGTATCCAACTCCTTACATAAATGCAGCTGAGAGGTCTTCAAAGGGATGTCTTGTGAATGTGATCGTCTCCGAAACTACAAAGCTGTGAGAAATTATGCCACCAAGTATGGAGTCTCCTGGTTCATGGTATTTATGAAAAAATGGACTGGAGTCATCCAGGCTGCCTTTTGAAAAAGAAACTTTACAAATGCTCATAGGAAACACCCCTAAAACCAATATTCCAACTATAAGATATCCAAACATTCCTGCAGAAAATCTATTCACTTCGTCCATAACTGGTGGAATATTCTCCAATGGAACAGTCAGGATTTAGCTGGAAAGCTAAACAAGCTGAGAATAAACCAGCTTTTGAGCTAAATGTCCTCTGTACTCAAAGTTTCAAAGACCAAAGGGAAGATATCCTTTATTTTTAAAGTGGTGCCCACGTCCTGTTGTATTTTACAGGGAGTTGTCAAATGAAAAGGAGAAGTCAGACAAGATTATAAGAACAGAGCAGCTGATTACCTCACCAGAGTTCTTTCTGTTTCAAAACAGTGAGGAAATAATTCCCCCATCCCTGGTGTTACATAGTGATTTTTCAGCTTATTCCCATGGTGTAATTAGGCCATAGTTTGCAATGACTATTCCAAATGATGCCAGGGGAAAAGAGTGATCACAACAACCAAGTAACTCCTGAAGAATGTTTTTTTCCCCATAAAAGTTGCATTACATTTTTCATAAAATTTGCATTATCTCATGAACTGTACATGAAAATAATCCCAAATAATCTACCCCGTGTCAATTCAGTGATGCGGTGGATGTGATGTGCCAGTGCCTGGAGGCTGTGAGGGTTTGGATGGGAGTCAACAGGCTCAGACTTAACCCAGACAAGACCGAGTGGCTGTGGGTATTGCCTCCTAAAGACTATGTTGACTGTCCATCCTTGGTCCTGAGGGAGGAGAAATTGTCCCCCTCAGAACGGGTTCGCAATTTGGGTGTCCTCCTAGACTCACAGCTAAGATTAGAGCAACATTTCTGGTTTCAAATCTATATGTTGCTTTATTGTTTTTTGTAACCAAGTATGTATTTTAGTCCAATATTTTTTCGCCTTTGAGCATGTCCACCACATATAATAATATGAACCTGGTATCCAACCCCCTTCTCAAGCATGAGAACCTATACCATTTCAGACAAGTGGTTGGTCAATTTCCTCTTTTTATTAACTGCTCTCGTTTGTTAAGATCAGGTCTCACTATAATAATGTAACATTTTGGGAAAAAGACACAAGACAGGAGTCCAGCACTGGAGGCCAAGATGGAGAAAATCTCCACAGCCACTGTGTATTTCCCTTTGGTGCTAATGTACGCAGGGACAAATGATAACCACACACTGCAGAAAACCAGCATGCTGAATGTGATGGATTTGGTTTCCTGGAAAGTGTCTGGTAACTTCCTAGCTAGGAAAGCTACAACAAAACTGATAATAGCCAGGAAACCCATAAAAGACAAGACACTATAAAACATGACAACTGACCCCTCATTGCATTCGACAACAATTTCAGAAATGAAGGAGTGCTTATCCAAGTCTGGGAAAGGGGGAGACATTCCAAGCCACACAATACAAAGAAGACTTTGAATAAAAGAACAAGAAAGAACAATAGAAAGGGTTAATTTTTTCCCAACCCATGTCCTCATCCGTGATCCAGGCTTAGTGGCCATGAAAGCAAGAACTACGGTAATGGTTTTGGCCAGCATACAAGAAACAGCCACTGAGAAGATGATCCCAAAAGCAGTTTGTCGAAGGAGACAAGTGATCTTCATGGGTTGACCAATAAAAAGCAGAGAACAAAGGAAGGAGAGGAGGAGAGAGATGAGGAGGGTGTAGGAGAGGCTGCGGTTGTTGGCCTTAATGATAGGTGTGTTGTGGTTCTTCAGAAATACTCCTAGTACCCAAATGGTCATGAAAGAAAGGATAATGGCTACTGTCACCAAGCTGCTTCCTAATGTTTCTTCATAAAAGAGGTATGTTATATACTTGAAAAGGCAGAAATCCTGCTTATTGTTTGGATACTGATCTTCTGGGCAGCGAAAGCATTTGTCCATATCTGGAAAAACAAATATAAATTGAAAGTCAAGTGTTGGTTTGAGAATGTTTGTTTTATGTTTATGTTTTATTAAATTTATATACCACCCTACTCCTGAAGAACTCAGGGTGGTGAACAGGCACAGAATAAAATACATAAATACAAAAGTTAGAAACAATTTAAAACCAAATTAAATAATTTAGCCCAAGACAATTAAAAAACCCCATAATTTAAAATAAATTAAAATTTCAGTTTAAAAAATTAAAAAGAAAGGGGAGAAAATTAGGCCAGGCAGCTTGTTGGAATAGGAGGGTCTTAAGAGCACGGCGGAAAGTGCGCAGATCCGGGATCCTCCGTATCTCCGGGGGGAGCTTGTTCCAGATAGTGGGTGCCCCCACAGAGAAGGCCCTCCCTCTGGGGGCTGCCAGTCCACACTGCTTGGCTGATGGCACCTGGAGGAGCCCCTCTCTGTGAGAGCATACCAGCCGGTGGGAGGCTGTTTGTAGTTGTAGGTGGTCCCATAAGTAACCAGGTCCTAAGCCATGGAGCGCTCTAAAGGTGGTAACCAAAACCTTGAAGCGCACCCAGAAGACCACCCGGAGCCAGTGCAGCTCGCGCAGGAGAGGTGTCACACGGGAGCACCATGTTGCTCCCATAACCACCCGCGCAGCCACACTCTGCGCCAGTTGGAGCCTCCGGGTGCTCCTCAAGGGGAGCCCCATGTAGAGAGCATTACAATAGTCCAGGCGGGAGGTGACGAGGGCATGAGTGACTGTGTGTAGGGAGTCCCGATCCAGAAAGGGACGCAACTGGCGAATCAGGCAAACCTGATGAAAAATCCTCCTGGACACGGCTGTCAAGTGCTCTTCTAAAGACAGCCGTGAATCCAGGAAGACGCCCAAGTTGTGAGCTCTCTCTGTGGGGACCAGTGATTCACCCCCAATAGTCAGTGATGGCATCAACTGACTATATTGGGAGCACAGCCACTCGGTCTTGGATGGCTTGAGCCTGAGCCTGTTCCTCCCTATCCAGATCCGCACGGCCTCCAGACACCGGGACATCACTTCAAGGGCATTGTGGGGTGGTCCATGGTGGAGATGTACAGCTGAGTATCATCAGCATACTGGTGGTACTTCACCCCGAAACCATGGATGATCTTGCCCAGCGGCTTTACATAAATGTTGAACAGAAGGGGCGAGAGGACCGATCCTTGTGGCACCCCACATATGAGGGGCCTCAGGGTCGACCTCTGCCCCCCTGCCAACACAAACTGCAACCAGTCGGAGAGAAAGGAGGAGAACCACCGTAGTGCAGTGCCCCCACCCCTAATGTTGATATAAAAGACATTTATTCTACCAGTAAATGGCAACATTTTCATTCTGAAAATGGAAAACCAAACAGAAAAATATAGAAAGACCTGTTGAAACTCAAAATATGTCATAAAAATACTGGATGGATAAAATTATATGAAGATGAATTTAATAAAAATCCAATGGAAAACCTAATAATGACTGTAAAAATGCTTAAAATAGAGTGAAAAGGATTAAAAGTGAACATCTCCCACAAATTATTAATTGCATGGCTTATGGCTGAAATATTTGACTAGCCAACATCTGACTAGACTAGACTAGACTAGACTAGACTAGACTAGACTAGACTAGACTAGACTAGACTAGACTAGACTAGAGCAGACCAGAGAACAGAACAGAACAGAACAGAACAGAACAGAACAGAACAGAACAGAATAGAATTCTTTATTGACCAAGTGTGATTGGACACACAAGGAATTTGTCTTGGTTAAGTCGGAGTACATAAAAGAAAAGATACATTCATCAAGAATCATAAGGTACAACACTTAATGATAATCATAGGGAAACAGTCAATATAAATCTTAAGGATACCAGCAACAAGGTTACAGTCATACAGTCATAAGTGGGAGGAGATGGGTGATAGGAATGATGAGAAGATTAATAGTAATGCAGACTTAGTAACTAGTTTGACAGTGTTGAAGGAATTAGCTTACATCTTGTTATAGTTGAATGGCTTAATGAAGTATTATATGAAGAGGATATCAACTGGTTAATAACTGGCAAAAGATATTTTTAGATTATTTAGGAGAAAATAACATTGTTCTAATAGAACAAAAAGGAAAGGAAAGGAAAAGCATAGGTACAAAATAACAACTTCTGATTGATGAAATTGTACTAGAGAATTGCAAAAGCCAAAGCCAATAATTTTCATATGGTCTGGATTGATTTTAAAAAGGTGCTTGATGATCAAATATTTGGAAACAATTATTTGTTATCATAGCTGGATGATAAAATATTTGGAAACCACTGCTATCAGTAAAAACATTAGAATTTTATAGAAAAAAATAATGAAGACAGTGGAAGATAGAATTGGTGGTTGGAAATGAAAAATATGGGCTTGTCAATATTAGGGGAGGCATCTTCCAGTGTAATGATCACCCTTACTATCATCCTTATTTCTCATTGTCAAGATCCCAATTTCAGTGATTTTGAAGCAAATGAATCTTGGCTATAGAACAGCAAACAATGCTAATGAAATCTGATATTATATGGATAGATTATCTGAATCTTTATGAAAACTCAGAAACTGAAATTCAGTCATTGACAAACACTGTAAGAACTTTCAGCACAGATGTAGTAATAGGGTTTGGCCAAAGAAATGTGCTACAGTCGCAATAAAGAAGGGCAAAACGGTGTACAGAAATGAAGTTGAAATGCCAAATTGCCAAACCATCAGAAACCATCATAATGAAACTTACAAGAACCTGGGCATTTTACATTTGGAAAACTTCAAGAATGCACAAGTACAAAATGTGATTAGTAAAAACTTACAAAGAGTAAGAAAAATGCTAAAAGCAAAACTGAATGGTGGAAACACTATCAAAATTGTCAGAGTTTGTTTATACAGCGTGACTACTATTATGAGACAACCCAGAAGCAAAACACAGCACACAGAGACTTTTATATTTAACAGTGGTTTATATACAAGACATATACAGGAATATACATGGTTGGCAAATACCTTACAAACAATCAAACTTCTTCTTAACTCTACATGGAGGACTCTGCTATGAATACCGGACACAAAGAGCGAGAATACGCCCCCTCCTGGCTGAAATTTATAAACATAAATTTTAAATCTTTTAAAATTTAAAAGACTTGTGTGGACCCTGTCAGAGTCTTAAAGAGGCTACACCAATGCTGATTCATTCTCATTGCATCAGCCTTACATTTCATCACTTTTACAGTTGCATTAGCCTTACATTGGCTGGTCAGCTTTAAATCATCAGTACC